TTAAATTTTCAGCTAGTCAGGTAGGAAAAAGATGGAAATGAAATAAATTTGGACCTATTTATAAGCGTTATTTTGGTTTATGGTTTTGGTTAAATATTCAGCTATTCAAAAAAATATCAGTACAAAATTTGGCAATTATGGAAATGATTTATATGCTATTTTTGTTTTTGTGCAATATTTTGGAAAGCTAGTGATTGCTAGGAAATGAAACGCTTTAGGTTTAGAAGAGACATCCTTAACCAGTTGTCCCCCATTAGAAAGATTCTTATTGACTATTAGCTCAATTTGATGTCATTTGTGAAAATCCACCCAAGCCAGACCAATGCGATTCAGTGCTCGGTTCTCTGCCCTCGAATCATCCGTCGACACACCTACTACGTGAGCCGGGGAGCACGTTCTTGCACCCCCGTTTTTCATCCTCAACAGCGAAACATTCCCAGACATATTGTTTGCAGACAAGCAACTTTTTCGATCGAAATGGTTATTTATTATTTTTTTGGAAAAGGTGTGGTATTATAACAAAATGAATGAAACCCTAAGAACATGAGAAGCAAACTCTCACCTTCCTCCACGCTGTCCTCCCCACTTGGGAACAAACGGCCAAATCCTCCAAGTGTCCAACAGCCCCCAGCATGAATTACGGGATCAGATAAAGTTTCCCAGGATTTCTCAGTTGAATTATCTCAGAGGACATCCGAATTCACACCTTCTCAGAGGCAGAGCTTCCACAGCCCAGCAGGGACGAGTTTGGCTAGATTTAAACATGACCTTTCCCAAGTGATGGGCTCCTAATCTTGCATGTGTGTGTGCCACCTAAGATCTGAAATTAAATAAGAACTTAACATTTTAAGTAGTAATTGCAAGCCCATTAGCACTTAACAAAACACAATAGCCCTGAATTTCCTGGTGTTACAAAACAAGTCCCAGAAGGAAAACAAACTACAGACTTAGCGATAATTCTAACTTATGTTACCAGTTGTAAAGGCATGTCACTTCCTGTAACATGCCAACCTACCCAGATCCTACGGAGCGGAAAAAGAAGTCAAAAAATCCTTTGCTGTAAATCCCTAAATTGTGTAAGCAAGGACTTTGTAACACCAAGAAATAAAGACATGCACATTAAACCTAAAGAGAATTTACAGAATGTGATGGTAATCAACAGACTGTGAAAACTTGTGTTTGTTGAAAGCTAAATGAAATCTAAAATTTCCTTGTGTCTTTCTAGTGGTAGAACCACTGCACTGCTGCACAAGTGAGCAAGACTTGAAAACAGCCCTAAAAAGTTTTGTTTCTACATTTGGACTTGAATAAAATTTTGAAATAACAAACAGACCATTGATCACCATAATAATTATTATTAAGTCTGTGATAAATCTAGCCTGAATACTATGGAAAAACTTAACGAACGCTACACCTATACACTTTTGGATGCTGGACTTTTAGTCAGCTAAACCCACTGGTGCCCAAAAAAATAAATTTGAGGTTTAAATGAGCTTAAACCTTAAAGCTGTCTTCACTGCCTTCATCTGTGAACAATGTTGATGGAAAAATGTGATCGTGCACATCTCCCATAACAGACCTTGTTTGCAGCCCCCCCCACCACTAAATGTGCATTGGATATAGAACCCTTTTTTTTGGCAGTGGGGGTGAATCAATGTCAATCACGAAGAATTATGAATAATTTTACCCAGTTAAGGTTTAATTATGCTAGTTGGTGCTTATTAAACTTAAGTGTGCTAATGAGCTTGCTGTTTGGTGTTTGTGTAAATAATGTAAAACTGCAATGGGATCATTTTCACAATAGCTTTGTTTGACGACAATAACACCAGAATTCCTATTTTTCCCCTTAAGTTTCCTTATACTACAATAATCCCAGATATGTTAAAATAAAGCCATAATAACCTAAGAAAAACTTCAGGATTCTGGTTGTTTGCCGTCAAATGATGCAATTATGGAAATGGCCAATTGACAAAACAAGCAAAGGAAGCATCATTACCAATTATGCTGTCACCCAATTACCATTTTGAAGGCAAAAAAATTCAAAATTAAATATGGTTTTCTAAATTCTACAACTATTAATTTGCTGATTTGCTTTTTTAGTGCTAGATTTTGAAATTGATTTTTCCCTGAACAAGATTTTGGATAGATTTTGTTACACTCCAGTTTTTAACTGCCTCCTTTGCTTATACGTAAAACAGGAACAACAATGAGCTACCCAACATCAAGCTGCCTAAATGTGAAAAAAAAAAAAAAGAAATTAATTTAAGCTAGATGACTTCTCTAAAGCGAAAAAAAAGGAGATCGTTACGCAAGACAGACAATGCCGGTCCTCTGTCCCTCTGTGAAATGGTGGCAGCAAAGTGTTGATTTCCATATATAGTAATATCAAGCTATCAGTAATAATATTTTCTAATAAAAAATATAAATAAATGACCATCCCATTTTTTCCCACCTAGTTACGGCCAGAGTTATGTTTGACAAGATTCCAATGAGCAGTTAAAATGAGGTTACCAGTTTTCAGTAACAATTTAATTTAAAAAAATTTTTGCTCTAATTTAATTCAAATAGATGCAGACTAGGGTGTCGCTTGGGAAAACATCCGACATTTTACAACACAACTACTGGTTCTCCGCAAAATGACTCTGAGAAACCAGTGCAGAAATCCTATGCTAATGACGTGTCAAAATTCTGATCTGGGTAGTGCTTCTGATTGGTTGAAAGTTTCCTTCAATGGACAGTGACACGTTATCAGTATGGAATTTCTGTGCTGGTTCCTCAGGTGTCATTTCACAGGGAAACCAGTGGCGATGTCGCAAAATGTTGGCTGTTTTCTCTGGCTAACTGAGGTGTAAAAATCCTTTAAATTTGCTAATAAAAAGATGCATTCAGAAATTTTCTATGAAAAAAAAAACGAACCTTACACTGGAAAACATGATAACCTCAATCTATGCGAGAAAGAAACATACCCTTTGGCAAAAATTTCTGCTTCATTTCAGAAACCCAAAAGGGATTTAAAAAAACATGCCCTTCGGTGTTCCTGCACATACCTATACGGAGGAGCTACAACCCTGTCTTACTGGACTTTTTCAGCGAAATGAAAGATATCTCAAAAATTAAACATAACTATCAGAATAACTTAAGTATAAGTTATTGGTGCTTTTGACAGCCATCAGCTTACTAATTATTAAACTGGTACCCAGGAAACAGGAAATAGAGGCCCTTTGGCTGACGAGGAAGTGACAAGGAGGTAACCATAGCAACCTGAGCGCAGGAACCCTGAAAGTAGCCCCCACCAACCTATCACTCTGATTAAGTGATAAAATAATTTGATCGTCAATGTTTTGTGCTTCTTGGTGCCAATTAGCTAATTGTAGATTATTTACGCCTATCGGAAATTGCCCCACAATTCTTTTCCTTAGTTCTCTTCCTATTTGTGATTGGAACTTCACACATAACATTTTAAGCAAGTGCTTTAAAATCGTAATATAGCTACAGCGCTGTTTCGTCTCCTAGGTTGACCCTAGTACCAAATGGTGGTTAATGTTGTACTCTTTAGCAGCTAATCTCGTCAATCACGTAGAAAAATGAGGAAACTATCAAAGGCTATAATATTAAGGCGACGGTGTTTGCACTGTGCCTTCAAAAAACTGATATGAAGATTTCACGACTTATTAGTTTGTTTCACATTGTTCGTAATATTTTCAGCAATTCATTACGCCTGATCGAAAATTTATGAAATCCTGCTTAGAGGATAGACCTGTTAAACTTCTATCACCAACATTCAAAACAAATTTGATGAAATTAATGGCTAGTTGTCAAAAAATCTGCAAGCTGACTGTCCACCAGCTGTTGGCCAACTGTCCGCTGCCTCACAGTCAGTTAACAAATTACCCTGTAATGATCAAGGTTATAATGATGATAACTTCCGTATCAAGCTAATAGTTCATTGTGTTTATGTGCTATAAAGTAAACAAACCCACTGCTCAGTGGAATCTTAATAAAAGTGTAATAAAAGATTTGAAATCTTAAATAAATACTCCTTGGTTGTACAAACAAGTTGCTTGGAATAGTTTGCCAATTTAAGACCAAACCTTCATTCCGTCATATAATTTTATATTGCAGAGATCCAGCCGTTGAAATAGCCCTCTTGGCCCTATGTAAAAAAGCTGATAACTGATTTTTCTCCAAAGACTTCCGTTTGTACAATGGTGGCACACACACTGGAGTAATCATATCTATTATTTATTATTACTCTGAGGCAATCAGTGCATTACTTTCAATTTGTCATATGACTGAAAAAGTGTCTAGACGTAAAACTATAGACTTAATAAAAGATTTTTTAAGTTTTTGCCTACACTCAATGAAGGCCCCTAAAATTTTCCTTGAAAAAAGCCAAAATTTCTGGATATCTCAGTCTGTTTTCCAGGTACCCTTAAAATTGTAAATGGAAAATGATTTAATTTCAGACAATTTTCATTGTTTCCCAGAAAATCACCCAAGACACCTGAAGATCTCATAGACCTTTTAGAATCTGCCAAAAAGCTGTGAAAAACACCCTAAAGATTT